ATCAACAGTATGGTTTGACTCTTATGAGTGCTCGAAGTTTATACTGAGAACCTACCAAAAGCTGGCTGACTTAGGAGCTGTATTTAAGAAGATACAAACAAACTATACAAGCATAATTTTATTCAGTGGAGAACCTATTTATTTGGGAAATGAAACATCTATTTTTGGACCACTAGGAAACAAGACATTGGCAGCAGCTATAAGAGACTTTTACAGTCCATTTAAACCTCATCAGTCAGTCAGAGAGTTTTTTGTAGATCTTGTAAGAATAATTGATCGTGTCATCTTGAATCATCAGTTTTACCTCTTCTACAACTTGGAATACTGGTTTTTACCTATGAAGTTTCCTTATCTCAAAATAATTTATGAAGAGGTCCCTTTACCTGTTGGAAGCAAAGAGTCCTTCGGTGTATAGCTGCTTACTGAAGAACCAAACTTGCCATTATGTCAAATTTGGAGCATTACCGTGATGGTGCTAAAGGGTCATACGTTTCAGTGCTAACTGTAAAAGTTGTGTTGGGAAGGCTTTGCCAGACACCATGAAAGAGTGTGCATTTTTTTGTTATTACCTGTATAGCACACGAATGCTTCAGCATCTATGACTTAGCTTCTGTGTAATCATGGCCACGTGCTGAGGCTCCTTTGGCTGAGCTTGGCAGTGCCAGAGGGGGAGTGGGGAGGCAGCAGCCTGCTCTGGTCTCCACATGCATGGCCACGCCGTAGCAGGTAGCACCTGACCACCTACAGAGGTGGGACACAGCATTACAAGGACTAAATTGGCTTATTTATGTCTTGGAGCTAAAAAACCTGAGTGTCTTCATGTGTTCAGTTCCTTCAACATGTGCCTTAGATTGGTAGTTCTGTAGTTCTTTGGTTTGTAAACTGGGACCCATAAACTGTTCTCCAGTGTTCAGTGGCGGTGGGGGAAGGGGCAGTGAATCTACTAGAAGATGGTATGGGTGGTATCTTTTAACCACTTTGCTTCATTCACCTATACTGTAAACACAATACAGGTGGCTCTTCTTTAGCTTTGTGTGTTCTGTAGCACAGAGGAAAACCAAAGTGCCTCTTTTGATGCCAACTTTGATGCATAACTGCAGTGTTCTAGCAGTTTCCTGCCTTAAAGTCTACTTGAGGCTTCAGTTAGGTCAGTGTCATAGAACTCATGGGTATGTTCCTTTCAAATTTCTTTAAAAAGCATAGAACCCTTAATATGAAAGAAGCAATGACAGCTTGTAGGGTGTTAACATTGGAGTTAAAAATCTGTGCTTGTCCCAGAATTGCCCATAAAAGGACACTGCAGCTCTTGCTGGCACTGATGCTTGCAGTAGTGGTGCTGTGCCTGCTGCACGATCCTTGAGTCCTGTTCCAGGGTCAGCCTAGAGCAGCTTAGCAACTAGTTAGTTCCCTTTAAACTCAAGTGACCAAAGCCAAGGAAACACTGGCTTTCTGGAAACCACTGAGGTGCCTGCACACAAAAAATACACCTGCAGCAATGTAATCATCTCCAAGTGTAGGCAGCTTACTTGTATTTTTTTTTTAAACTAGCTGCAGAATGAATAGCCCTCCTACAGAGGTTATTGCTGTCTCATGGCCAAGCAGGAACACAGAAACCCAACTCTGCAGTTTCATTTGGCTTGAGCCAAGCTAATAGCCTGCTGCAGCCAAAGAGGGGTGTACACAGTGATTTGATTCAAATCATAAGAATGGCAGAAAATTAACCTTGTATTTAGAAAGTCACTAAAACTGATCAGTTGAATTACATCATAGTGTAAGGGGATGATCATGAGAGCTCATGTGAGAGTAATGAGAGGATGAGAGCAGCTCTGTTCATGGAAAAGCTGCTAATTATTTCCACTGGTAGGTGAAACTTCATCTTCTGCCTCAGATTGAAAGACTGTACTGTTTTTGGCTAAAGTCACAAGCCCTCATGGCTGAACTGAGCTTTGGATTCTTTAGGTTACTGTCACGGTTTCACCCCAGCCAGCAACCAAGCACCACACAGCACCACCAGGAAGGTAATCCAAGAGGCACTAGGAAAGTTAAAAAGGGTGCAGCAAGCCTGTCTACAGAAGTTAGATTCTTGTTGATGACTCATTTTTATGACTTTGAGACCCTCAATGTTGTTGAACGTACATTTGTCTTCCCTGGGAAAAGCCTCAACCTCAAAAACCAGTGTCTGAAGCTGTGAGGGGGAAATTGAATCACAGAACCAAGCCAGTAAAAGTCCTGAAAGCTTCTTCTCTAGTATTTGCTAAAAAGCTGGAGAACTTTGGGAGGCTGAAGTAGATGCTATGGCAGGGTACGTCATGCTCCCTCATAGCAGCCTGACAGTGCTGTTCATTCACTGAACAGTACTTCTGTGTCTCTACTCAGGACCTAAGGAGCCTACACACCAAAGTAATTCTTTTCCCCTAATAGCTGGAGTATTTTGTGATGCATACAAGAGCCTTACAGAACTGGAAACACTGAATTCTGAAATACACAGCTAATGGTAGCTGAATCATCCAGCTAACACTCAAAAAGATGGGTTTTTGTGAACCAGTAATAGAGAGCTTAGACAACTTAACAGAGCTGACTGGTTGCAGAGGTAAAAACCTCATTCTTAAGGAACTTGATAAAAAATAGTTTGTGTGAAAGATGTAATAATTTTTCATGTCTGTGGTCAAACGTAACTTCATTGTTCTGTCAGTACAAGTGTATAATATCCTGAGCTTTTTGTACTTCAGTATCAGCCCTTCTCACTTTTTCTATTTCATCTGTACAAACTGCCTAATTTAGCATGTTTTACTCCTGCCCTACTACTCTGGTAGTAGGTAGTAGTGGTACTAGGAGTTGATTCAAGAGAAAGTTACATCCTAGCATGTATTAGTTGCAAGTTAGAGGACAGTAAATTTCTGGCAACAAAGATGAAGACAACAGGACAGTTAGTTGTCAAGGATACTGCATCCCTTGGTGGTAGAAGCAGCAAGAAGCAGCTGTTTGAGGCGAAATCTGGGTCCATTCAGCAATAGATCACACTGTCAATCACTTGGGGATTCTTCCACACAGCCATGTGTGTATTCCAAGTCTGTTTCACACTTTGAATTCTACCCTCAGTTTAAAGGTAGTGTAGGAGTTGCCCTTTATTTAACATACCTGAGTTCCTTCTGAGGTCAGTATTTATTCCTGCTGGGCACACAGTTGGAGAGTGAGCGAGCCTCTCAACTGGGGAGGGTTTGTGAAAGTTAATTGTTCAGACTGAATGCACAGCTGAGTGGGAATAAACTCCACCAGCACAAACTGCAGTCCTGGAAGAGGTGCAGTTGTTGAACAATTAATTGCACTGGAATTAGCTGAAGTTGTTGAGTGCAGTGTTCTTTTGTAGGCAGAATCCAGAATCCTTGAGTTAGGCCTTCAGAATTAGATCCAGAATAACACAGAGCTGATGAATAGCCTACTTCTGCAAAGTTTAGACAAGCCTAGAATAGGCTTGTCTAAAGTGACACTTAAGTGACACTTTTGTCACTTAAAAAGCAAGTGTTAGATGTCACAAACGGCTTCTGTGCACCTGATGATCTGTTATTGTTTGTCACTGAAAACCACCTATTGACCTCAAGCATCTGAGATGGACAGCCTCCTCCTGAAAGTCACACAGAGGAGCAGAAACAGTAGGATCACACCTGGCATCTCACTCACAGCCAGGTGGTACTCACAGCACTTGCCCAACAGTAGGAACCAGGGGACTGTCCTTACTGCCAGGCTCAAGGATAAGCACCTACTTTCTCCAGTGGCTGTGTTGTCGAGTCTTTACTCACGCTTTGAATACAGGACTTGATCATCACTTTAGACTGTGTTTGTTTCTGCTCCCTGCTGTTATGCAAGCTGCAGTTAAGGGTACAAATACGCAGTAATTCTGCAATACAACAATTTCCAGGTCTGCACACTGGTCTTGTGCAAAACTGCTTAATTGTTACACCACTGAGCTGTGGGGCTGTAACCCACACTTCATTCCAGGAGAGTTCCCAAGTGAGGCAGATCCTGGCTGGTCATACCTCAAGGTCTGAGTGTGCAGGCTGTGCAATGAAAATTGCTGGTACAAATGGTTTCTGCTTTCCCCCTCACAAACCCATTCACAGATGTTCTGGATTAGGAGAGCTGCTGCCTTCAGTATCGTAACTTGTAGGCACTTGTGTTCAGAGGTAAGATTTGTCACTGCACGCATTAACAACTCCTACCCAAGACTGAACAACCAGGCCAACACTGGATTGGATTCTTCTGAAAACAAGAAATAAAAGGTGAAGTCAGGGAAAAATGATGCAGCTGTGACACCCCTGTTCATGTTTCTAGTGAATTTCATGAGTCTGTGGTAGTCATTACTACTTATGCCATGATTTTTATGTATTCACTATTCATTTGTACCAATGTGTAGAAGACAAAATGTAAAAAATTTGCTAAAAAAGAGCATCATAGCAACTCTCTTGCCTAAGTATTACAGCTGAACTGTTTGAGCTAAGGATGCTGTAATTGGTTTGGTGTATAAAAATTGTTGACCTTCAGCAGAAGAGACAACTGCTTTCAAGTTATTTTCTTATCCTTGAACATATTGATAACTGTGTTGCATCCAGGACGGACTTTTTGAAGTCTGTGCAACAAAACAGAGGCTTTTCAGAACAAGTCAGTTACCTTACCGGTGAAGGAGTTCTGTTACAACCAAACACGTGTCAGGGTCTGACCATAGGTCTCTCTGTGAGCAGCAGAATGCTGAATTCTCGAAATTGTATGTGGTATTTAGGTTGTACCTTTCCTTTCAGTTATTCCTGCTACCATCATGTTGGCAACTTACCTTGCGAGTATCGGGACCTCTGTAGTCAAGGTCCAAAGAGGTTTTGGCTGTGTTACTAGTGGGATTGCCTCACTTTAATGTAGTGAAAACCGGTCCTCTTCCCCAGATTGCAAGTGTTACTCCACCTTATAATACAGGCAGTTCTGAGAGTCAGATTACAAAAAACATGGAGCTCTTTTACTTTTATGGACTAAATATATTGACACCTTTTATACAAATAAAAGCAAATTATAGTATTACATTAATTTAACAAATTCTAATACAAAACCCGCATATTTCATAAAATGCAATTTTTAAATCAAAGCTCTACAGAAACATCTAACTCCTCTATAAAGATGTCCAGTCCGCTGAGCATTGTTTGCTCAAAATATAGTTATGAACTTAAATACACTCATAAGTGTATTACACTGAGCTATACACCTGGTTAAACATTACTGAAATCAGAAATGAAGGAAATCTACTTACTACCAGAAGGAGCTGTACAGCTCAAGCGAGAGTTCAGCCCAGCCTGCAGCCCGAGCAGCATTGCCTTGCTGATGGCTGACCACACCTGCCAGACATGCAGCTGTCACGTCAACGCTTTAGTGTTACCAATCAGGAACGTCAAAGAGAAAATAACATAACTGTTGGCAGCAAGAAATGAAGTCACAAGCCACATCCAGATCACAGGCAATGTCTTGCCTACACCACTTACAGACTAAAAATTTCCTTTAATAAAACTGATTTATCAAATGTTCAAAACAAATTTTTGCCTATCGCTCTACTTCACCAAGTTTACTCCTTTTGGGTTTTTAAATATTATGAACTGACAGAACTAGCTGAATTAAAGGTATACAAAATGATTATCTATCAAACGTCCACTTTGTACATAAACATTTCTGAAACAGATTTACAGTATACAGTTAGTTTATACAGCTTAAGCAACTGTTACAATGTCATTTCTCTCAAACTGAAAGCAGCCAAAAGGTCTAAGATTTTGTGAAAAGGTTCTTGGTCACCATTCAAATTTTACCTTTCCTATCTCACCTTATTCACACCCATGTCATGAGAATAACATTGCTGGGTTCATTTCATAAACTGTACATTATTCCATCTCACTGTATGCTGCCAAGCTGGTTAATGTGCAAGAAAAGCTCATTAACTACAATTTATTTTTAAATACAATGTATCTACATTTTCCCCCAGAATGCTTTCGCTTCCTGAGCTAGACATAAAGTACCTTAAAACAGGTTTAGATGCAGATCTGAGACTCCATAAGCAAACTACATTAAAAGGCGTAGAGAGGGGGGAAAAAACCCCACACTGCTTTTGGTAGCTCACACTACTGTTTGAATAAGGTAGCAAACTTACTATTTGAGTTGTCTAAACTGTTATTACTGTGTATTTCTCTTGCCTTTTATGATTTTTATATAACAATGTGTATATTTCACAGGCTACTAAACACTTATAAACTTCATCTTGTCATCTAGGTGACTGGATTAGAAATGCTACAGTCTGCAACAAAAGCATGCAATTTAGTTGGAGTTTGGTTTTTTAAGATCAAATCTGGTTTTTTAAGATCAAATCTGGTTGCGTTCGATACTACTATCTAAATCAAAGAAGGACAGCATATTAAAACTGGTATTTTGCAGGTATTTCAATATTTTAGATACTTTTGTTTTATTTCCAAAAACATTTGAGATCACTTTCAATGAAAAAGATCAAATCTAAAACAAACCTCACTTTTGTTTCGATGAAAACAGGTTTTGGAACTGTGAATTCTATTTTTGGATCTAGAGGTCAAAAATAATTTTTAAAAGAAAAATTAATTTTCTAATCAAATAATGAATTAACTTGCAGTAAAATCTATATTATTAAATAAGCTTTTATTGCAGTATGGTAAGCTTGGGTTTAAGGTGCTATTCCATCTGCCCTGGAGTCTCTTAAGGACTTTACCATGTGGGCATCATGTCTGGGAACCACACTCTACCGAGATGCTTTGAAACTTCCCAATGAATCTGCTCTAAGTTGTATTTCTGATCAGGAATCAAAACTTCCTCCATGATAGAAAGCTGAGAGAGACGACCGCCACACATCTTCACAAACTCAACAAAGGCACTGCAAGAGACTTCACATTCTCCTAGGCCAACCGCCGACAGGTACTTGCACCGCTCGGCAATACAGATCAGCTCCTCATCCAGCGGCCGCAATCCATTGGCACACACCACCAGTTCAACCAGCCGAGGACACGTCATTCCAACGCGGCCAAGTACGTCTTTGCTTACTGATCTTCCGAAGTAAAGGTGAGTGACAGGTATTTCGTAACGAAAGAATGGGTCAAACTCTTCCTCGTACAAGAAAAAGTACATTACTAAATTTACTTTAGGAGAATGCTTGATGAAGGCATCCCAGCTGCTCTTCTGAATCGTGTGGAACTGAGTCTGCCCAGGGTTTTCGCTGACAACGTCAATGCGCAAGTGTTCTAACCTGACGTGTTTTTCAGAAGACAAAGCAAGCAGCAGCTCATCACTCAGCAGGTGGTAGTTCAGGGCCAACTCACGTAAGCCATGGCACTGGTCAGCCACGCAAAGGATACCTGGCAGAACAGAACACTATGAGAGGGGTTGCACAGATAAATGTACTAATAACTGAACAAGAAACATAGGAGTGCATTTGTTTATGTACGTCAGGAGAGTGCACAGACCACCTATTTTAACATGTAACCAAGACCTAACATCAAAACAAAATCATACTGGACAATGTGAAAATTAATCTTTTTCACAAGCACGACCTTGTGACCTCTTTGCACCTACACAGTTCAAGACAGACATGCACAATGCGACTACATCGCTATTTTGCTCAGGAAACAAAGACGTTAACAAATATATAAACAGAAGGGACAAATATAAAGATAGCATATTCTGACTGCTCTGCCCTGCTGTAAGACCACATATCTGTGGTCTTACAAAAACTTCATTTTTGTAAAAGGTCCTTACTCATGATAAAAGTATTCCCCTAGCCTGTGCTGTAAGAACTGCTGTCTCCTCTGTGGCCAACAAAGCAACTGTGAAAAAAAGTTTGTCGCCCGCAGAAAGCAAACGTAAAATCAATGCTAGATTTTAATTAAATACAGAAGCTGCTGCAGTCAGTATTTGTTCTTTCTAACAAAGCATAAATATTTAAATCTGGAAAAGCTACAGCAAAAAAACGTGGCAAAACACTAAAAAGTGGGAGCAGTAATTTCTAGAACAGCAATTTCCAGACTCTCCCTTTAATGAATTAATATGACCTGCTGCTCACAGAAGACAAAAACAAATTAACAAAAAGAATTCAGTTCAGTCTAAAGTTTCCACTTATCCTATTTGTACATAGAAGTGATGATACCATACTGGTAACAGTACTGAAAAAAAATAAAAAGCACTAAAAAAAGCATCCAGTCTTCTGCATTTCATGTGACCCAGAAACCTGTGAAATGTGGGATACGGCCTTTCCATTAATAGAGAGGCTGAGAACATAGCATTTAACATTCCTCCTGACAGACATATTATGTCTCATATACTTCTCAGACACAAAGATTCTCAAGAAACAATTTTAAGTCAGAAAAGCCAATTTAAGCAATCCCCTATCTATGATTACAAAGCTTTGGACAAAATGACATTACAGTTAACGTGCCGGTGAACTTTGCTGGACCAATCTGCTGTATAACAAACCTGCACTTTCAGGACTTTTTTTATACAAAACCAAACAAGAGGTTTTGTCTGAGAGCTACACCTGCAAAAGGTATGAAGTCTGTTTTGTTTGTTATCACTACAATAACACACCCTCTTCTATAGTACAGTTTTCCCCACATATTAAGAATCCTGCTGGTGAATTTTACACATAATATACCTAACACTTCCAACTGCAATATATTTGCATGAAGAAAGTTATGATTACTATAGTAGTTTCCATTCATCCTCAGAAGAGGAATCAAACTAAGTTGCCAGCATCTCATGTACAATTCCTCTTCCATTTCTCAGTGAAAAACTCTAAGTGTTAAGCTGACAGGCTGTGAATAAATCTTAAACTTGCTGTGCATTGTTGAAGTTCATAGAATTAACATTTGCCGAAGGTTTATGCAATCTTGAGTCATTTCATTCTGCTACAAGCAGACTTCATTTTTGCTACTGACACAGAGTGTTAATGCTTTGGTAACAGCAGAAGTTCTGCAGAGCTCAGTCTCATCTCCACTGTGTTGATGCTGTCTGCACTTATTCTCCAGCAAGAGATCAAACTGCTTTCCTTCAGAATGACTAAAGCAGCATCTTCATAATCCATGATATGGCAACACTCAAAACCCACACATAATAAAATGTGGAAAAGGAAGTCGCATTCCAAAAAGCTTGACTATACTGGAATATTTAGTCATTGCAAAAGTAGTGCACTATTAAGCCAATACATACTCTTTAAGTTCCACATGAGATTAGTTGTTTGCCCACAACAGACATGCACTATTAGCTCAGTAGTCACTCTGCAAGTGGCAGGATAGATGGCCTGACCTCCAGTTGAAAGAACTTTCTTCAGTGACAGGTGCTGTAAATACCACACTCATCCTCCCTCCCCAATAAATTCAGACAGAATTTAATGCATGCATCATAAAAAAACCCCAAGGAACAACAACAAAAAACCCCAGAATGATCCCACAGAACCACAGCAGCTTACCAGCTGGAGAAACATGAGGACAACTGCTCATTTTCAACAGTTTGAGTGTGTCACTATTATTAGCCACGAGCACTTTGAGAGATGGATCATCTACCGGTGTATCATCAATCTTGAGTGAAGAGAGGGATTTGGAGTTTACAAACACCACTGTCAGTGCAGAAATAAAGTGAGACTGGAAAAAAAGGAAAGTGTAAATGAAGCAGAATCTCAAGTAAAAATCTCAGTGGTTTTATACTGTACACTGCAATCTTAGTTTTCTTGTGCTTATTGACAGCATTTGCCAAAAAAGCATTCTTTTGATATTGCGTAACTAAAATTAATACTAAATCTGACATTTTTTAGTAGAGGAAGTGTAATAACTTTTTGCTATTAGTCTATGTATTGGGCAAATCAGAATGTCTAACATTAAACGCAAATCCAGAACCTGACCCTGGACAATTCACTGTACAAATTTAAATCTAGAGAAAGACCATGAGCAAAGGGAAAGCCCAGAAGCCCTAGTTTTGAGAATAATTTGCAAGTCACACTCTAAACAGAGCATCTTCTAGAAGAGGAATTCCCACATGGCAAGTTGTACTGCACTGGTGAGATGCAAATCAGGTCAGGAGTGGCAACCCTGTAATGTTGTATTTGAAGCAAATAATACTACTGCCTGCCTAGCACCCACCTAGAGGATTTAGGTTTTGAATGGATTTATCTTGGAAAGCTGCTCACTGGAGTGGTCCAAGCGGAGCCAAGGAGCCAGTGACCAATTAAATACCGATTTTCGTTTGCGAAGCCTAGCCATGATGAAGCAGCATAGATAATGTAGGTCCAGTGCTCTAAGTTGCTCCTCAGCATTTTTACATAACCTGAAACCTATTAGTAAAGACAGAGCCCAAGGCACCTTTAACTTGGGAAACATAGACTAAGGAGCAGATACAGCAGTGCTTGTAGAAACCACTTGTGATATGTAGGAAGTGAATAATTAGCTTATCTTCATGATTTCTTACAAGACTGAGTGAACAGAAGACTTAAAAAAGGTATTTTCTCCTTGTCCTACATTAAGTTTCTATAAAATGACCTGCTACTTTGATTTCAATACTGTTTCACTCTGAGCCTCATGCACAAGTCCTAAATACAATTATATGAGAGAAGGCTTGGCAACAGTATTCGTTCATTCTTACCTGATATGTTTGTGAATTTTGATAAAACTCACACACAATTAGATTTAAAAAAGGAATTAATATTTTCATGCTAACACAAACTTCCAGAGTCTGTTCATACAAATGGAAGCAAGTTCAACTCAGAATCTTTAGGCACTTTGGCTTTAGGGATCGCTCCAATTCTACTGGCGATATGCTGATTACGTATGTTACGTACAGAAGAAAAGGTGCTTTAATATAATTTATATTATAAAATATGTCCAAGTTTTAATTATATATTAATATTTAATAATAATTTAATAATATTTCCACTCTGTATTCTGAAAGCATTAGCACTGTGTTTTTATTCTCTATATTTAGAAATTAATTCCCTTCACTAAGAAGGCTGTTAAATAAAAAGGCAAAGAAATTTAACCACGTTTGTAAAAACAAGTAACTCGAAACTTCTAGTTTGAAGAGCTAACGGAAAACAGGCAATATCCCAACATGTAAAAGCCCATCTTTTCAATACTGCCACATATGTAGCCTATAATATGATTCTTTAAAAGATTTATGTAGAATGCACTTAGTGAAAAGACTAGCAACACCATGCTAAAAATGATTTACAAACATTTGCCCGATGTCATGTTGTTACTTGAAAACAGAAGAGCACTGATAAGGATAATGCAAAGTAGTTCAGACCTCCTATACAGTCTGATAAAAATAATTTTTAAAAAATACACCATAAAAAAAACCCAAACCACTGTATAATATTACCCATTTCTCAAATCCGTTCATCTTTGCGTGCTTCTCATCTAATGGGCCTGTTACTAAAGGCTTCCCTCAAGAATTTAGCCATGGTCCAATTCAATTGTTTAGTTTCATTAGTGGTCCAGGAAAATTTTAAAATCACTGCTGGTCCCATATGCCAGTGACAGCATTATTTGAGAAGTAAACATCAAAAGGTAAATTATGCCCAGAGCTAATTTTGGCTCATTCTGAATACATTTTTTAAAGACCATGTATAAACCTATTGGGAACAAAACCAGGAAGCCTGTATTTTAGAAGCCTTGAAGCTAAGACCATAGCATGAATAACTACAAATAATTACTCAGCAAGAAGAATAGGACCATAACATATCCCTCCAAAGACAGCTAAACAAGAGAGCTACAACAACATTCAGATTAAGAAAGAAAACAATAAGCAAGAGCTAAAAGGACAAAGTATTCTTAACACACTGAGAATGTGGATTGTTTTCACTACATTCAGGTTTTCTTGTCATCACAATTCAAAGCACATCAAAAAAGGAAAAAAATCATACCAAAACTAGTTAAATACCTGGAAAGCCTCTTTGAAAAAAATCAAGGATTAAAAATACATATTCAAGAGAACTACATGATGTGGCTGTGACCACTGGTAGGGACAGTAATTGATAATCCTTCTGTAGGTAACCTTGCTTAAGCCCTATAGCCTACTTCCTTTCCCTTGGCTGTCTATAGTTCCTCCTTGTCCTTGTGCCATCACCAGCAATGACATCACTAGGATCTAGCTAATAGTCTAGTTGTGTCTGGCCCTTCACAACCACTCTCCTGCTCCTTAGCAATGGTATACCTCACTAGCAGGAATTCTTTAGGAGCATGTGTAAGAGATTTGTTATCTTGTACATCAGATGCCTTCTAACAAGATCTGATTTTTGGCAAACTTGCAAGGTAAAAATCTGACTGAAAATTTCAGAAATACACTGCACTTCACCTAAGAAGCTGATGCTTGACTGCATGACATGACATATTGAAAATCACGACCACGTTGTTTTCAAAAGAGAGCTCACTGATCATACAAGCCCTATGGCAAGTCCCCAGGAATAAAACTCTACCCCTCATTTGATTATCACTGTGTCCTAAACATCCCCCACAGCACAATTACACAGACCTGAAGCATCTAGCCTCTTGACTTGCACCACACTGTTCAGTTCTACACTGGGGTCAAAAGACAGGAGGACTTGAAAGAACAAGGTCAGGCCTAAGATCTCACATGATTCAGAGAATAAGTGGAACTTTAGATATCCTTGCAGTACATCTCAGTTGCTCCCTTTAATAGAGCCCAGTAATAAAGTTTTCTTTACCAAAGATCCATATTCCTATGATAGAACTTTTCAGAAAGTTATAGAAGTACTGTATGAAACACTGCAATGCTCTGCAATAGAAAAATATTCATATTAAAATACCTTTGGTAAATCCATGAAGCTTGGCCGGGCAGTTGAAATTAGCCCAAGTGTTTTCAGAGAGCAATTCACAAGCTGGGATAAAATATCACAAGCTGCTTCTGCAGATTCCTTGCTACTGTCCACCTTAAAACAAAATGGATTGCACGTTCAGAAAGCACTGCATCAAACATATTCTAACTTTTTATTTCATTTTACCTTCTGAAATGCGATGTCAAAAAACCCTCACAAAGCACCTCACTGAGAATCCATCAACATCATTCTTTTTTTTCCAAAAAGTATATACAAAAAATCCAAGATAATTTGCTAAAAATTTACTACTCTACTAAACACTTTGGTAAAATATAGCATGGTGAGGGGTCAACTACACAGTTTGTTTCAAGATACTCAATCCACATCAAATAATAAGGAAGTGGAGGTTCATTTGGGTCCAGAGCCTACTCCAACTCCTCTTTACATTCTTCCTTACTAAAATGCAGGAATTCTATAAATCCTTTACTGGGTGCAAACACTGCTTCTTTTTACAGTGACTGAGTTCATAATATTGAGTTGCTGGAGAGTTAGGTGCATTATCATATGAACCTATATGACTGGCCCTTCATAGTTAATACCACAACAGATATGCAATGGATAATCTACCAAAAAAAAAAACCAAACCAAAAAACCCAAAACTAAAGAAAAACCACCACAAAACCAAAAACCCCAAACCCTTCATTAGTCAGTTTGCTATACAACCCAGTCACTTCTTGTGTCTCCAGTGGATTTCCCCTGACACTCAGACATGCTTTCTGAATAACCCCTTACACACAGTAGGCTTTGCAAGCCTATAGAACAGTATAAAGCTCGATCACAGGATCAAATTTAAGCCTACCATAAGCCACACTACCTTGTCAGCAATAGATGTAAATCCAATGAATGTTCATTTCTGCTCAAACACACACTGAAAAACCTCCATTGTCAATAATCCAATCTTGCTTGCCTACAAAAGACACCCCTAATCTTTTCAGCCTTTACAGAGTAAGTCAGTCAGTGTACCTTGTGTATTCTGCAACACTGAAGGACAACTGAAGCAACAATTTCAAGAAATGATGCGAGTATTGCCCTACCAAAGAAGGGCATCTGAAATTCTTCAAAATGACTTAGTGTAAAGAAATGCAGACAGCAGAAAAGACACCGGAAGGTCATTCCACTACAGCTGTAAGTTTTCTTTATTTGGACGCTGATAAAAGCCCGGCAAACCTTGCGATAACAGCTTGTATCTGGTACTGGAATCAAGCAGTAGCAATACATGTGATCAGGCAGAGGTGCCTCAGCTACCCACATGCTGATGAGTCCTACATTAGAACTGCCTGTCTCATAAACTAGTATGTTTGTCTTGCTGCAGAAGTCATTTCCTTTCCAAACTTCTCACACAGCTGATGCATACAGTGCCACGAGTTTCACAGCACCCTTCCAAAACACAGTGATAGGTAAGCTACCACTAAAGGTTTTCATCTGCTGAAAACAATTCCATGGTGTTAACGGAACCAATTCTCACCAAATGGTACTTCTCAGCCAGGCACAATCAGTACACACACCATTCCTGTGCAAATTCCATGTACTTTTTCAGTTAACTGAAACACAGTTGTGCTGAGTAGACAATCCCATACAATTTAATATTAAAACTACTAGTTGCTGACTAATAGTACTGAAGTCACTCTCTGCATATTAGATGTTTTCTTACCATGAATACTAGATCCAACTCCCTACAGGATGTGAAATGGGGAAATGCTCAATTTATGCATCTTGATCAAACTTAATTCTGAGGCAGGAACCCAAACATACAGTTGTATCAGAACCGAAGTATATCTGTCCACTCACTGAGGCAGAACTTTAAGCAGCTAAGCTGCTACAAGAAAAATGGGAAAAAAAATAAAAATCGAAAATACCACACCACCAAACAAAGAAATTTCCATCTAACAGAATAAGGCAGTGAAAAGGTATGTTCAGGATTTATTCCAAGTTTTAGTCCTGAAAATACACCTAAAAGAGACAAATTAATTAGCAGGTAACCTCCATGTCTACATGTCTATTTAGAGAACCCATTTCTTCAGTATACTAAGCTGGAAAACAAGGCCATTTACTACAATGCTGTATTTCTTCTAAAATAAAAATGTTTTTTAAAAAGCCTATAAAATACACTACCTTGAAGCTTACATACTGCAGGTGATTGGAATGCCTTTTTATTATTTGCTTGATTAGTTCAGGATGTGTAGTCCTCAAGTTCGATGTAGCTGGTTGATTCAGTTCAAACTCAAAACACCTCCAGAGATCTGGCATATGAAACACTTGGTTCCAGCTTCGGCAGACCTGGGATGCGTGAGCACGATCCAGAAGGGGCAAGTACTGAAACACCTGCAGGATAACGTCTTGAAGCAGGTTCGCCCAGTCAGGACTCTGCACAACGATGGTTTTCTTCTCTGTAACCTTGTGTCTCTTGGTTTCCTTCTCAGTTGTCTCTCCCAATGAACTGTTGTTGGCCTCATCAGTTTTCCTTCCTCGTTTCATTCTACAGAAATAATAAAAAAAAATTCTGAGAAAGGAGCTGAGAACGATATTAACAGAAAACTATGAAGGTGAAAAAGGATGTTTTTTGCAACGACACTTTTGCAGGTTTTTTTTCCCTGTCATATAAAAAGGGAAAAAACCCAAGTAACAATGAAACCGAACTAGTAGTCTAGAAACAATATTATCATCTAAACTGATATGTTTAATATTACTTCTTTAATCATTAACAGTGCCAACCCATTTATAATATTCACTCTCAGTGGTTTATTTTTGTGCTTGAGAACATTTTGAACCGAATTTGTTTTACTGTTTTGTTGATTATCGCTCTACTGTTCTACTAAATCCAAAGATAATACTCTAAACAATTTTTTGAACACTGACATTCATATTGCTGCCCCAGTCCTATTTATTAGAAACAACACTTGAAACTGTGGAAGAAAAAATTAGGTAAGGAAGTAAATAAAGACTGTATGCAGGCTTGCAGGCACTGCATACTGCAGATGTTGTTGTATCTGACCAAATACTTTTTTCCCCTCAGACATTTTCTTTTTAAAATGTATTTATTTATTTGACATTAATTCAATAGGCATCTGTTTTAAATCAGTATCCTTGAAAACATATTTCATCAAGAACACTGGTGTGCTTTCATTTTTTGAACTAACTAGGAAATAGGGATTATGAAAGATTTCCAGTAACAGCCTAGAAGTTTCAACCCACAAAAAAGGTTTACAGAAGGGTCAGAAAACTTTCTGCAAAATTATATCAAATTCAGCAAGCCTGAGGCAAAAGGTTATCTCACTCTCCACAGCATATACTTTTTCAATAATGATGTAACAAACTAAAGTTCTACCTTATGTTACATTATTAAAGAGAAAACCCCCTACCACTACACACATCTGAAATAAATCTAGCATTGGGTTTTGTTCAAAATGTGTTCTTTTGTACATGCCATCTTACAACTGAACTCAGCAGCTGATTTTTAAAAGCCTCAGTAGGATGCAGATCACGTCCTGAAGAGCTATAAGACCTCACGCTAAACTACAATATGCTCAATTCCAATCTCTAAAAAGATGAGAGAATCCAGGGATGGGATGGTCTTGACATGTATAAGCACCCCTAATCTTCCTGATTTCTATAAGATAAACACAGACTTCATACACAGTGAAATCATTCCGGTTTACATTCAAGTACCATCACATGTATGAGACTACCATATGCCCAATCCTTCTGGGATCTGGAAAGTTAAGTTTCCCTGCTATGTACTGCTGGTAACTAAAAGTTTGGAAGTACTTCTTAAAACTGAGTGCAACTTAAAAATTATACTGTTTATAATCCAATGCATACAGATTATTTTCTCAAAGCCAGCACCTCCTTACCTATCTTTAAAAGACTTTAATCCTAGCTACTCACATGACAGAAGCGAGCTATCACTTAAGGTGTGGAGCCACTGATAAGATGATGCAAGCAAACCTGAGCATGCTGTCACGAAAGACTGATGAACTCAATTTGTCTCGATTTTTTTCCAGCCTCATTTTTTAATCCCAGTAGCAACTGGGGGCAAGCAAAAGATGAAAACAGTAGGGGGCAAAAATGTCTACTACTTGCTTCCCGACAACTATTTACTCTTATTCACAGCTCCCTACTATGAGACTATGCAAAACATGACTCGTGTACCAGAACAAGCTTTCTGCCCAAGAGAGTGCTACTGATCCAATAACAGAAGAAAAGCAAGAAAACTGAACAGTGACTCAGAACCATCTGCAATTAACAAAAATACAAAGAAACTGGATTTTGCAACTATGAAATCTGAATTAAATTTATAACTAATCAAGAATTAATTAGCAAATCCACTACAAGCCTGTCATGTTTCTGTTTGAGATAACTACTCACCACAGGACAAAAATAATATTTATAATAAGCCAGTTCACTCACTACAGGACAAGAATAATATTTATAATAAGAAAGTTTGAAATGCAACATTCCTTTAAATTTTAGGCTAAACAGATATTCCAAACAACTAGGTTACAATAAGCATTTACCACAGGCAAGCTATTCCCTTGACAAATTTAGGACAGTGTGTTTGATGTCTAAGTCTATCCAAAGCCATCTCTCATTAATCTGGAAAAAGCTACACAAGGTACTGTTAAGACTTGGCTCTCCAAGTCTTCCTTACAGAGAGATCCTGTCTCATCTTCTACTAGTAAGGGAATACATGTGCATAAATTTTCTGGTTAGGTACACTACTTTTATCACTGCATTAAGGTAGGGGGGTTTTTTCTTTACTTTTTCTCTCCCTTTTAGAAAAGACCAGGAGTGAGCTGCCACTGACAAAACTGGAAAAAAGGCCTCTGAGATGTGCTGATAGGAGGGGACCAGGTCATCAACAGACAACTCAGTCTGCACCTCTGAGCTAATTGGGATGAGTTCTCAGTAGATAAATATATGCTGGTTACAGATCAAAACCCACTCCTGGAAGTTGTGGGGAATTGTCCCATGTTTTTATCAATAGTGAATTTAAAATAAAAAAAAAAAAGAGATAATAAAGCCATCACTAGAACTATACTGATGATGAATTTCAGGTCACATTCTTCCAAAAAAATAAGATGTTACATGTTCTAAGTGCCATAGCTTAAAAAGCAGGGGATGGGAAAAAAACAATTCCAGACTTTTTTGTTACTGACGTCTTGGATGCTCTTGTAATTAAAAAGAGAGATAAGCATAACTTTTCAAAAATATTTTCTTGTTGGAACTTTTTCCAAAAAGAAAAAAAGGGTCTAAGCTCAAGACTAAAAAATATGATTTTTAAGTGACTGTTTTGTCATCTAACTTTTGGCACCTTGTTTCAGAACTTAAAGTATTGGCATAGTTTTTAAAAAATGTAACTGCTTTCAGCCTCTTAACATACGTAATAATAAAACAAATACAAAATTCAAAGAATGTAGATTTACCTACAGAAGTCTGCAGAGCCATCCAAGAACACACTTATTAAAAAAATAAGGTCACTTAAGAAAGTAAACCTTTCTGCATATTTAATATGGAACAGGCTTAGGAATACTGCCTAGGAACAGGCACACGTGGTTCAGATCACCTTTCTTAATGTATCTGATAGTCTAAAAATCAAACCATTTTGAATCCCAGCCCAACTTTTCAACGAGGAACATGGATGCAAAATTCCATGCTAGCATTGTACCGTATAGGTACAACCTATTTTTCAAAGGATGATTATTTATCACTTCTTACCAACGCCTGAACCATCAATCTTGCTTTTAACTCTCCCTGGCATACTCAGGACACACATATCACTGACCAGTTTTTCCAAGTTGCTGCTATAATCAACTTTGCTTTAGAATCTAAGATCAGCCTGGAGAAGAGGTGGCTCCGGGGGGACCTCATCACTCTACAACTCCCTGAAAGGAGGCTGTAGCCAGGTGGGGGTTGGTCTCTTCTTCCAGGCAACTGTCAGCAAGACAAGAGGGCAAGGTCTTAAGCTGTGCCAGGGGAGGTTTAGGTTAGATATTAGAAAGAACTTCTTTACAGAAAGGGTAATCAGGCATTGGAATGGGCTGCCCTGGGAAGTGGTGGATTCTCCGTCCCTGGAGGTTTTTAAGATGAGACTGGATGTGGCACTCAGTGCCATGGTCTAGTAACCACGGCAGTAGTGGATCAAGGGTTGGACTTGATGATCTCGGAGGTCCCTTCCAACCCAGCTGATTCTCAGATTCTATGATCTTGACAGAAAAGCCAGGATGGTAACAACGAACCCCAAACCAACAAAAATACCCAACTCCACCAGGGCAGAGAGATGGGTGAAATCCCGATGCCTGACTCCTTAAGACTTTACAAGTGAGCTTCCCCACCTATTTTACGGACTTGTTTCTGAACTCCGCACCCGGGCGCAACCCACACTATCTTGTTTGCAAAAGTCACGTCCAACCCTAATCACACAGTTCAGCCACCGAGGAGGAGGAGCAAAGCACGTGCTCAACATTGTTTTTATTGCCGAGTAAGGTGCAGCCAGAATACAACGGCAGTTCAAAAAAGAAAAAAAAAAAAAGAAAACAACAAAACCAAGCCAAACAAACGACTGTGCAGAGCCGTTTACGCCCTCCTGATAACGCTTCCCCAGGAGCCAGCCCAATGAGCTCACTGCTCTCCCCTTACAGAAAGGCTGTTCTGGGAACAGCAGGGACGCGCTAAAGGGGGGCACGGGCTCACAGTGGGGGCGGCCCAGACACGAACCCAACCCCGATCGCCGCGAACAACCCGCTGCACACAACGGAAGGTTTCACAATTTATCACAGCTACCACAGGAAGGCTGCGAGGCAGCGAACCCCCACAAACACGGCGGACTAGGATTAAAGGCTCTCCCGCTACTCCTGGCGCAGGATCTCCCCAGGGTCGGCTCCTTCCGGCCCGGCCCCGGCCCGGGGCGCGGCGCCGCGGGGCTCCCACAGCCCCCGACTTCTGCCGGCCCCGCGGCTCGGGCCCCGCTCCCCAGGTCTGGCACCCTGAGGAAGGTCCCGCTGCGCCGCCGCTGCCGCCCCTTTCCCGTCCCTTCACCTGGCGGCTCCCTGCTGCGCTTCGCATTAACCGGGGCTCGGGCCGCGCTGGCGCCTCCGCTCCGGCCACATCAGCTCTCTCCGCCGAAGTCGACCCCAGCGCCGCCTCCTCCGCCCGGCTGTCCGTTCCGTCCCGTTCCGTCCCGTTCCGTCCCGTCCCGCCCGCGTCGTTCCTGCTCGCTCCTTCCCTGCCTCCCTCTCTGTTTACTTCCCAGCGGCGGAAGCGACGCGGACCAGCCAAAATGGCGGCGGGCGGGCGGTGAGGCGGCGCAGCCCCTCCCCTGCTCTCCCGCCCCGCCGCCGTCGCGGCACCTCCCGGTGAGGGACAGCGGCGGCTCCTCCTCCCCGCCACGGCTGAGCTCCGCCTGCCTCCGGCAGGAAGGGAGGAGGGAAGTATAGAGGGGTACCGCGGGAAATCACAGAATCAGTTGGCTTGGAAAAGACCTCAGAGATCATCGAGTCCAACCTATGACTAAACACCCCCATGTCAGCTAGACCATGGCACTCAGTGCCATGTCCAGTCACCTGTAAGGGACGGTGACTCCATCACCTTCCTGGGCAGTCCATTACAATATCTAATCACCCCTTCTGGGAAGAAATTCCTTCTCATGTCCAACCTAAACCTCCCCCGGCGGAGCTTGAGGCTACGTCCTCTGTTCCTGTCACTTGTTACTTAGGAGAAGAGGCCGACCCCCACCAAGCTACAACCTCTTTTCAGGTAGTTGAAAGTCACTCCTGAGCCTCTGCTTCTCCAGACTAAAGAACCTCAGTTCCCTCAGCTGCTCCTTGTCAGACTTGGCATTCTTGGCCACCTGGGCACACTGGATAGCACCAGCAATAGAGCCAGGTATTCACTGGTACACCGAATTATCTCTGTGATTTGAAAGCCCCGTGCCAGGCCAGCCTTAGGAATAGATGTAATGGAGAAAACAAACCATGAATGCTTCCTGGAGCTGGTAGGCACGGGAAATGATGTGCTTGGGATACTGCCAGGCAGAGAAAACAAAGTGATTTATGACATTTCCCACGGGTTGCAAATGCCTTGTTACCATGCGTCCCCCACATATGTGATGCACCCCAATACAGGTTGTTTTTCAGCACTGCACATGATCGAACTCTTTACAGTTGTTGAGATTCCCAAAACTTAATTATTCATTTATTGCAAGATACAATAAATTACGGCTTGAATTGTTATGATCCCAATTCCTGTAATTAAGTTTTTTGGAAACAACTGGATGTGATCCAGTGCTCTCCCCAGTCTTAAAATGGCTTTGAAACAGGATAATAGCTCTTCAGTGGTTGCTGAAACATCACCATACCTGAGGTCTTTGAGAAGCAATTTATATAAATACATTACCTTGGATACTGAGAGTCTGTTAAAAAATAAGTTTTTCTTTTCTAGTTCTTTGAAATTATTAGTGAAAAAAAAAGACTTGCATACAAACAGGAACGTTTTTAAGTGAGAAATGTTCATTTTGAGTTTCTATGAGGAAATAAACTCTTTTTCTCCAATTTAAAATGTCTTGAGCTATTTTACTAAAGCTTGGCCATTATAGTTCTCTGTGTATTTATGAATCTACATGCAGCCTTCAGCTTTTCAGGAAATGCAGCAAAAATCTGGAAATAAGAGGTGAGTTATCACCTCACTTTGAACAGATTCATAAGCATCTTAGACATGCTTGTAATAGCAAATATGTGACTATGTAACTTGCTCTGATCAAATTCTGGTGTCTGCAGAAAAAAAAAAAGGAACATCATGTGACCAAAACAAATATTTTTGGAGTCTGTGTAGAAGTCTTGGGAGATGTAACAGTGGCAATTTCATTATTTTGAGGTAACTTCTACTGCATTATCTGAGTTTCAATGCATTGACTTAGTGGGAGGGACTTCTTACAGTACCTTGCAGTTACAATTTGCTGCCTATCTTTGGAGTAAACAAACTTTGGCTCAATGCCTGTGCCCTTATTTGCTTTGTTGTAACTGCTTGTGTATGTTTTAGGCACTGTATGTGTGTGCAGGAGAAAAGAACAAGTGCAGAAAGAACATGACACTATTTGGGGACATAGCAGCCAAAATCAGCTAGAAAGGCATCTGCAGCTCTGTCCTTGGGTCTGAATCAGGCCCTGGACATGGCGCAAAGCACTGCCAAAAATGTCTGTGGCATCTGTTGGCAAAGCACAAGAACTGCAGAGTTAG